TCAAGAGCCTCTTAACTTTTAGATGACCATATAATTTATCAAAAGTGTCCAAATTTAAATACTTTGGGGGAAGGAAAGGACTGCTAAAAAGGATTACCACTTTTTAACTGATCCATAACAGATGTAAACTGGTGTTTGAGACAACGGGGATGTACTGTAATCTTATCTGCCTGCCTTTACCCTCACCTCTGAACAGCCTATTCTCACCAAAGTGATCCTATGACACTTGCCAGGTCATGTGACTTCCCTGCTTAAACCATCCAGTGGAGTGTCATCTTACTCAGAGTGGAATGCCTTTTGAATGACCCTTCATTATCTGCTGTGTTGTTACCTTTGGGTCCTATTATTTGCCACTCTTCTTATTTACTCCACTTCGGCCACACAGCCTTCCTGATTTTTCTTCAAACTTGCCAGGCACACTGCTGCTTCCGGAGCTTTGCACTGGTGGTTCCCTCCCTGGTATCCACTTGGCTCACTCCTTCTTCAAGGTTTTGATTGAAATATCATCTTTACAGTGAAGCTTACCCTGTTCTACTATGAAATTGCACCCTTACCCTCCATAACACTTCCTCCTTTTCTGCTTCATTTTTTATAAATGTATCATTATTAGACATCCTATATTTAGTTTATCGTTCCCTTTTCTCTACTAGAATAAGGGTAGATGCCTCTGTCAGTGTGTTTATTTCTGTGCTCTCTACACATAGATCAATGAATAGCACATAATGAAGGCTAAATAAGTATTGCTTTTTAAAAAGTATAGTACCTTAATTATTTTATTAACTTCTTTTAATTGATGGGATATATATATATATTTCACACTTCCATTTTTTCTCACTTTCTTCTTCTTTCCCTCCATTAATTCTTCCTTCCTCCTTTCCTTCTCTCTGTGCTTCATTGACAAAATTTATTCACATTCTTATTTTATTGAACTCATTTTCTTTTTGGTGGTGATAAGGTGGATAACAAATTAGTCACTTATTAGGAGCATATTTAAGAAAAGTATGGGTACAGGGAGAGGAACTTTAGTGTACTGTGACTCAAAACACTTAACTCACTTTTACCAAAAATAAGGACTGTGTATATCCAAGCAACTATTTCAAAAATTATAAATTCAATGACTTCAGCATAAGAATAAACAGATTGTCTCAACTGGGAGTGAGACCCTGAAGGGAAATACCATGTAATGCCTGGACTTCTATACAGTTAGAAATTACATTTCATCCACATGTGTGTAACTATTTGTACTCTACTTAAATATTATGAAAAACAGATTCTAATATCCAAATTCCTAACATCTGAAAGTATTTTGATTCTTTTTTGTCTCTAGTCAAACTATGTTATAAAGATTTTTAATTGATATAAAATCTTTCATGACCGAGAGGAAGAAAATCAAGCTGATGTCATTAATACCTAAATTCTAGGACAGAAACAGAAATTCACACAAATGGGCGTGGTTAAATGTGTTAACAGAAAGCAGAAATTTTTATAAAAAACACATCCAAATCCAGGAAAATATAAGCAACAGATGGATAGAAAGTACTGAATCAGTGTTTCCAGATGCAGGCTCAGCAGTGGATCAAATTTCTCAAGTTTCCAGCTTGCTCAAGTGAAGACACTGCACTAAATTACAAATTTCTCCCAACCCTAAAGTTATCTAATTCCTTATCTTGAACCTGCCTGAACACGCCTATGATCAGGAAAAGACGGAAGTTTGACAATGGTAGTGTGTATATTCTGTCTTTCCGTTTTTCTCTGAGCCCATTAGTTGTTTCTTTCCATTTTCTTTTGGGGCTTCTCCTCTGCTCAGATTCTAAATGCTGGGGTGGTTCTTCTAGTCTAGACTCAGGCCTTCTCTTCTTTCTACTTACTGCTTTGGTGATCTGATCCAGATACCCTTACATTTATGTTTCCAGCCTAAAATCCTGTCCAAATCTCCAGACACTTATATCAATAATCTCTTTATTTGACAACAGCACTTGGATGTTTTCTCAATATTTTTATATACAAGGAAGAGGCCTTGATTCTCATCTAACCCCAAATTTACTTCTCTGCTTTTTTCCAGTCATTTCACTCTCAGCAAATTGCACCACTCTCCACCCTAGTTGGTCAAGAGCACAGCCTATGAATCATTCTTAATTTCCTCTTCTCTCATTTCCTATTTTCACTCCATCAGAAATTCCTGCGAACACCACCTCCAAAATAGCTCTTGAATTCTGTCCACTTTTCTCCATCTCCATTACTACCACTTTATTCACAGTTACCATACTTTCCCATGGCACATGTTTGATTTAGAATGCTGTTTTCAAAGCTAAGGACAAATAGTTCCTTAATTGGTCTCCCTACCTTCATTATTGACCCAACCATTCAATTTCCCTTGAACAACCAGAGGGATTATTTTAAATACAAGTCAGATTATTTATTTTAAATTCTCTCGATGGCTTCACATTACACTCAAAATAAAATCTCAACTGTATGCCTTTCAAGTCCTGTCAATAGCCTGGCCTCTGTCTATTCCCTCTGCCTGGGAAACCATTATGGTTTTTACTCAGACTCCCATGTAGTATGAGTATAATTGTACTAGTTAATGACTTCAAACCATACTTACTTGACAGATACATCATCCATAGTCACATAAAAGTGACAGTGAAGCACACAATAGGCCCAGTGAATACTATTTTGGTAAGATCACTTCTGAAGTTGCACTTTAGAGGGGACTAACAAATCCAGTGAATTGGATACAGTGACTAGGACCTGAGAATCACAACTCTGGGTAGTGATAAATCTTGGGAAAAGAAAGGCACAGGGAACATCAACATAATCTTTAAATAGTTCGATTTATCCAGAAATGAGTTTTAAACTGACATTCATATATAGACAAAAATTACACATAATGGTTGGAATTTATAAACAGGCTGTTCTTTCTTAACAGAAAGATTATGCAATGTTGGAAGCTGATAAATTCTACATTCCTATAATTCAAGTATAGACTGCCAGGGAAGGAGAGCAGATCGCCTGCAGTGCCCCAAAATAAACTCTACCAGAGATTCTCAACAGGGGCAGTACAGCCCCCTTGAGGGCATTTTGAAATATGCAGAAATTATTTTAATAGTCACAACGGAAGTTAACCGGACTTCTGTGAGCAGAGCACAGAAATACCACATCCTGCAACGACCAAGAAAGCGTCAAACAAAAAAATTGTCCTACATCCAATGTACCACGTGACTGTCTAATGTCACCAGAATAAATCCACTATAAATATAATTGCAAGTACTTTGCCATGTAATGATATCGGAAATTTTTTCAAGAAATTAATTAAAATAACTTAGAAGAAAACTGTCAGTAAGAAGGATATATACATGGAATTAAGATGCTATTTAAAAATTACTTCATAATTTACTTTTTCTGCTTAAAATGTCACGTATTTCCAACTACCTATTTAATTTTAAAGGGCTTCAATGCAAGAACTTAGTTTTTGCATGGCAAATATTAGACAAAAACATTAAGTCAGTGCAATGAATTGTACAGAGCTGCAACTATTGGGTAAACTAAGGAAAAATTATGTTTTCTTTTGTTTGGAATGTTCTAAGAGTTTTCTAAAGATACATCACTGTCAACCATGCTACTTATGGTATTTTAAGCTGCTAATAAAACATCCTGGATCAGTCTTTACTTACATTTGCACATATGAACATATACAGTAACAGTAGTGACTTAAAAGTCTTATGAATATACTCAGACACAGATTATAAATTAGCAGATATCTGAGTGATGTCAGTAAGTTGTATTAAGTGTTTTGAAAATATTTTATTGCCACTTTTATATTTTAATTTTTAACATACAAAATAAGGTCTCCACTGTGAAAATTACACTTTAAATTGAAATGTATTTATTTTGGGGGTTGGTACTCTTAAACCAATACTGTCCCATGAGGCCTACCACACGATTTTTGCCAGTCCATCTTCTTTTGCCTGCTGATGACTATATGATTATCATTTCTGAAGTAACTATCAGAAAATAAATGTATATCTCAATACATGGTAGATTGTTGAATGTAGAAGATGTGTTTGTGTTACATAGTATCATCTTAATTGTGTTTCATAATATAAAAAATTATTTTGATACCATACTACACAATAAGTTCTAGCTCATTTTCAAGAATATCATACTTTCTTAATTTTCCTTCATCTACAACCTAATATTTTTCTTGGCATGTTACCTCAACTTTAATTTAGGTTATTTCCCCCTTTCCTTTATTATATAAAAATACATCTTATCTCTTACTACTTAACTTTAGGTTTTAGTTCTAGAGTCAACCTGTACTTATGTTTGCTTAGTTATTTATAATGAATCAGTATGAACTTGTTCATTCCTTCATTTATTTTTATAGTTCTTACATAGAAGAACTACTGATCCTTTTACTTTATGAAACTCAAACTTATTCACATTAATAATGTGTAGTCATCGGGCAATTTCACTGTGATTTTTAGAAGGGCTATATATGAACATATACATAGGGTGTCCATATTCTTTTATTATAAATTATTTTATTTTACCTTTATTTTATGTTAGAGTTAGAACATTATATCAAATTTTTAAAAATACATGGGTTGTTTTACCTATGAATTTTAATACAAAGATACTGAAGTGAGCATTAATAGTTACATGAAAAGGGAATGGCTTCTGATAGTGTTGAGTGCACTGCATTAGAAAATCTCTAAGGCCCTTCCATTTCTAAAATCCTGAGACTCCCTAGTTCCTCTAACCTTACCATGAGTGATGAACACTCCTGTCTCCTTACAGTAAACATTGCCCTCACAGAAACTTATACTAAGATGAATGCACTCTTTTGGTAGTGTAAAATAACAATTTTGCCCTTATAAAAGAGAGTGAGCCATTTTTCTGTTATTTCCTTGAGTTGAGAAGACCATGCTAAACTGAGAAGTGCAAACACTAGTTTCCCCAGCATGATTATTTTCCACACAGCTGTGCATTCATCTTACCTAGCTTGACAAGGTGGAGTGTGGAGGTATTCCTTCCTCTTTCAGTACACGCAGTTACTGAGAGATTGTAGATATCTCCCGGAGGCAGACTGAGAATTGCAGTCATGACATTGCGTGTTACCTGCAAGATCATCAAAACCAAGGGCTGTAAACTCCTAATACACTGGAACTGTAACACCATTCTAAACAACTACAGGGCTCTCACAGACATGGCCTCTCTGCTCTGTGATACAGTCTACAATTGATTATGCCCTTATGAATATGCTATTTCCTCTAAAAATGATATAAATTCCCCATCGGAGCCAAATGCAAAGTAGCTCTAAACACATGTAATACATATCAAAGCATTTTTGCAATTAATTCCCTTGTTTGGAATAGGTAACCCTCCAAGATTTTCCCTTATACTCACAGCAAATTTTAGAAAGAAAATCTAATTATGACTAGAGACTTGGCTTCTTAACTAAAGACTGTATTTTCTAGCCTCCCGTGTAGCTACAAGAAATCATGTGACTCAAATCTGACCAATGAATTGTAAGTAGAAGTCACTTGGACAACTCATATTTAGTTTTGTTCACATCCGGTAAATGATGGGCTTTCATGTCCTCTCCTTCCCCCTCTGCAGGCTGGTATATGATGTATAATGAAAGTCCACCTCTGCAGAATGGAACTACATAGAGTGGCACCTGGGGCAACAAGAGAGGGAGAATCTGGACGGCTGGATGACCCCTTACTATCCTACCTTCAGAGCCTAATACAATGCCAACTGGCATACAAACATTTGTTTAATGTTTCAGTAAATTTTGCTTAATGGTTTTCCATAGTTTATGCAAGTGCCCGATATTGGGATTCAAAGAAACATACGCTCTTTTTAATTTTCTTCTTCCCTTCTGCAACAACCATCCAGTGCAGCATTCTAGAGTGGGAGAGGTCGGTTGTGTCATCCCCATATGTCCAACTTATATATAAGAGACTGTTGAAATACTCCACAGAAGTGATTTCTGGAGCAACTGGGGCTAAAAGGGAGGAAAGAAGAATACGTTAGTATAGGAGGCTACTAATCATTTAAGTAGTTACCAATAGAGCATGAAATCACATATAAAGTTGAAGAATTAACACGTGATGGTCCCGGGTATTCTTGGGACCCTGAGTACCACAGCGAAGGTAACTAGTACAAGGGGAGCATGTGTTTCCTGGGGTCTCACCTGTAAGGCTCAGACACGAGACAGTGCCATCTGAACCTGAGGATATCAAAACCTTTTAGATAAACTTCACAGTTACAAAATTCCTAAAATGTTCACTGGTTTGAGTATACTTATTGCATCAATAAATTAATTGTCCAGTATTGGTAAACTTATTTTCAGAGATGTACCGGAAACTCTGAGATCCTATAACAGTAAGCCTTTTTCACTGTGGTGCAGCAAAAGTGTTTATTGGAATAAAGGGCAGTAGGATCCTTGAGTAGAAGGGCAGAAAATGAATATCATTTCCATAAAATACAAGGCGACATCACTGGCAGTGTCTTAGTCAAAGCACTTTACAGACAAAGTAGGCTCTTAATAAACGCTGCTGAAGCAAGTATTAAGGGAAAGAAAAAAAGGTATTTTTATCATGCTGCAAAGTTAAATTCTAACACCGAGCTTATGAATTTATTTTATATTTTTATCCATGACACAGCATAAACCAACTAAAATATTTAAAGAAGAACTTTTACATATTATAAAGAATTATTTTCTTTAATATGCTACTGAAACTCAAAACATACATAATTAAAGATGCTTTGAAAGAATTATTCACCGACAAGGTTTGTAATAGATACAGTAAAAAGCACATTTCTGTTTGAAGTGAAATAGCAGTAACATTCCTATGTTTGACAATGAAATTTGAAATATCAACAATGTGTCTTAACAAGTAACACAAACCTGTATCATATTTCAGAATATTCTAATAAAGTATAATGACCCTGGCTCCTCTATATTCCTATGTACTTCATTATATACAACCACCTATACTTATGTTTCCTCAAAGGATATTTTCTCATGTTCTAATTCTTGTGAGGACAAGAAATATATTTAAAATGACAAACCCAGAAGTATGTATCTCCACTTCACATGTATTACACAAGATCTTCAGATATTTATACTGCCTGCTGTTACTCTGAAATCCAGCATAGTGCTGAAGGACCACAAGATGTCACTCTTTGTTTATTAAATATTATTTGGTAGACCAGCATAATTATGAACGTGACTTGCAGACAAAATATGTTGCCTAAGAATGATAGAAGACTCGATGTCTAATAAATTACACCTTATTCAAATATTTTGCTCCTTTTTCCTTTTATACCACATATTTTGGCAATTTGGGTCACAAGTAAAAGCACAGGAAAATGAAGTATGAGATCCTTATTTGCTTTAAAATTGAAAAGAGAGGAAAGGTCAAAAAAGAGCTAAAATTTTAACGAGTGTTAAAAATAAAACAGCTACCATTATGTTTTACTAATGATTTCAACTACATCATTTAATTCTCACAGTACCCTGTGGGATACTATGTCCATCTTACAAATGTAAGAATTGAGACCATCAGTATGAATATGCTTAAATAAGATTGTGGACCACCAATGGAAGCATGGCTTAGAAGTTTGTTGCAGGAAAAGATAAGAAATTACCAAAAGTCAACTTACTGAAGATAATAGACTGCTCACTTAGGCAAGTAGCTTATTGATTAATCACAGCTTTATGTATCCAGTATTCAGATTTGTTTTGTCAACCCAAGCTGTTATATAATGATCCTTGTCCAACCCCAGATTGGTTCCCACCTTTCCGAAGGCACACCTAGACCACGTGAGTCCGGAACCCCAAACCGCACTGATAGCAGTTCTTCTCCGACGCCGCCCTCGGAGACACTGCGCTGACCGGGAGGCAGTGTGCCACCTTGCTGCCCGGAGGGCTAACGCACCAAGTTTTGCTCTGTTAGCCAGTAGTTAGGTAATATTTTGAGTTTGACCAATGGGAAAATAGAAGTCTAGGATCACTAAGATAATTTGCTCAATGTTCTGAAGTTAGAAATGAGCAGAGGCAGCTCTGCTCATTCGAGTGTTTAGAGGGGACGTCGGAACTTTTTCCGGACATTTTCCAGACATCGCTGTCTGGGAAGAAGAGAATATTCTCAGAGAGTTCATTCCAATAAAGTTTAACTTACAAGTTATTTATACAGTGAAATTTAATTATAATAAATATATAATTTTTAATACAGTCAACAGCATGACATAAAGCTTGTTAAATTATGGTGTTTTCTCCTTTTTTGAGCAAAAGGGGAACACGAGGCATTGGCTAGTAAGCAAAAGTGATGAACTATATAAGTTAATTTTGTAAGAATCCACACATGATTAATTTCTCCCCTTTATATTTTAATTTATAAATTTCAACAGAACAAAGCTAGATGTCCAGTGAGAAAAACATTTTGCCAAAATTATTCTTCATCTAAAAATTTTTTTTCCTTTCTTTTTTCAGCACAACTCTAGTTATAGCCTTATAGTCCAAGCCAAAGTTCTTAAAAAATCTTAATTCAAACAACCAGGACTAATGTCTCTTTGATGAATTTCCCCTTCTCATTGTTACCTCTTATCACCTCTGCCATCTCTGCTACATGGTGATGAACTACATAATTTAAGGCTTCGAGATCGAACATGAACATTTTTTAAGTTACTTAAACTTTGTATTTTGCTAAGTAGCTCATTTAAGTGAGGCAATAATAGATAATAACAGAGAATAGATACTTTATCATCCCTGTTTTCCACATGGAAAAACTGAGGCTTAGAAAAGGCAACTTGCTCAAGGTTCTGTGTGGTATGCGGCAGAGCCGCGGTTCAAACCCAGGCCTACCTGCCTCCAAAGCCTGTTTAAATTCCTGCAGTGGACAGTACTGAGTCAGCCTGTGACTTTAGAAATGGCTTAATTAATAAGGACATGGAGGCACTCTCACAAATATAATCATCAAATGGGCGAAGGCAATTGAACGCAGAGTGAGGCGAAAAGGCTCTGCCTGCTACGTCTCTAGTTGAATCAATCTCCACCGGGGGCACATAGCTCAAGGGCAGTGACTCAGAAGAGAAATAAATCAAGGACAGCAACTCAGGATAAGAATAATAGTTTAATTTTTAAAGGCTATCATTTGAACAAATAATGAATTTTTGGACACAAGCATGTAATCTTCCATGAAACTGGAACTCAGTCAATCCTGAGTGCCTGAGTAGCACTTTCTGGAGATGGTCCCTTCAGAGCCACCGCAGAATAGTGTTTGCCCCTCAGAAAACTTTCTCCCCCACACCACTCACCTGTTATGAAGCTTATGGTGGAACTGTCACAGCAGCTCAGCTCTGGGTCTCCCCACGTCACCATGGTCACTCGAAAGTTGTAGTACCAGGCTGGTAACAGATTAGCTATTCTCTAAAAACAGCAAGAAGATAAAAGTCTAAGGGGGAAAATCATATTTTTAGAGTAGAGTTATTTTTACTAGGCCTTGAAGAGAATAAGTAATTTTAATTTTTTTATGTGCCATGTCATATTCACCAAATTTTCCATGGAAAAAACAAAAAAAAATCCCCTCTTTTTGTAATGAGGGGAGGTGTAAATAAAATGCTATACAAAAATGTAATGCAATTTTTAAAAGTGATTCAAAGCTATAGAGTCAACTATTTCCAATAATGGTTTTATTTTGCACTTTCCTAAGTTATGTTATGTGAGTGAAGTAGTATTTATTTGCAAGTGATTGTATGTACACATTTCCTTGTTTCTAAACCAAATGACCTTCAATGACTCTGTATTCTCTCAGGTTGGACCATAAGCACATGCTCTTGATGGGTGGCAATTACCAGAGTTGTCAACTGGGTGGAGGGCAATTGTACTTCAGGCGTGACCTGCACTTTACAAATTATTCACGTTTTAGAAAGAGCTGTCTTTACCTGCTCCCTAGTAGTGTAACATTATACATATTTAATTGATTTATAGATGTCAAGAATTGTCATCATTACAGTTAAGCAGTGTCAACCAGTCGTTAAATGATGAAAGGCAATCTTTTGTGTTTTCCTTCCCAGGAGCAGTAACAAACAATAAGTGCTTGATAGCGCTACTAAAATGTGGATTAACAAATAAACTCAACTATGGGTGAAAGCTAGTTCCACACAATTCTCTCTCTTCTTCAAAACAAACAAACAAAAAACCTAAAAATCCTAACAACAAAAGCAACCAAAAAAACCATGGTAGTAGCAAGCTACTTGTGTATATCTACAGACACTTTTGTGTCTGACGTTTGGTACATACAGGCATGTCTATTTACAGGAAAGTGTGTCAGGAGGTTAAGGAGAGATTACCACTGATGCAGTTAAGGAGACAGTCGCTGCTATTTCATAATAGGTTGTCCATTCTGATGTCATTGTCGTAGGATTGAAGTAAAACATTTCAACCACATATTTTCTGAACACTCCTAAATAAGGTCTGGTCCAGCTCAAAACTACTGCTGTAGGACCCAAGGGGTAGAGCATTAAATCCTTTATTCCAGTTGGAACTAAGAAGAAGGGGGAGGGGTGTGAAACAAAGAAAGCCAGGAAGAAGTGTTTAATATTTTGGCAATGGCTTCAAACTTCTATTTAATAACTTAAGTTTTCACTCTTGCATTATAATTATTAAAAACTAAGCATATTTGCCTCTGATCCCCTGCCCCCCACCAACAGTAAATGCTAGGGATGTCCACCAGCTATATAATTGTAATAGTTTATTACTCTGCAGGTAGGATATGCGGTGAACAAGAATGGGCCTCCCATATGTGATGATAATAACTTGAGCTTGGACATTGCACCCACCCAAACAATACTTAGATAAGGTTATTATTCTTGTAGCTGGCAACTTACCAATGGCAAATGTCACAGGATCTGAAGGTGGTCCAATCAAAGGGCCTTTCTTTAGGTACATCACAACCTGATACTGGGCACCGGGAACCAGATTTTCAATAATAGATTTGCTTGAGTTCACCTTTAAACCAGACACCCAATAGGAGTTCTTTAGAGCTGGGGTTTTAGTATGGGACACAGAGGATAACATTGTATTCAGAGACTCTTTGTGGAGCCCCAGATGCCTTTCAAATCCAGAATCCTTTACTCACGTGGGGGAAGGTCAGATTTCAAAATCAGGATGGTTTATAGTTTGTGTGAACACTGAAGGGGGCCCAGAACATTGAAATTCTATGGCTGGATTTAATAAGTCCTGGGAACTGCTTTATATCCATCAATGCCAATTGTAACTATGTACACAAGAGACACATCAGCCTCTAACTGTAATCAAATCAGCAATACCGTAAGGATAGTCTGATATCCTAAATTGTAGTGTCAGCTGATTACATACAAAGATCAGTGCAGGAATGCCCTTAATCCCTTGTCACTGAGAAGCATATAACATCTAATTATGGAGATGGAAGTGACTTTAGAAATTACCTAGTCCAAATTTCACATTTAATAGATCAAGAAAGTAAAACCAGAGAATGGCCAAGGTCACATATTTAGATTCAGTGGTGGGTCTAGAAACCTCGCTTGTGACTTTTAAAAACCACACTATAGACTGTGGCTAAGCAACAAGACAAAGCAGAAAACACTGGGCAAGGCTGCTGTGCCCCCATGAAATACTGTTGTTGAGAACATTTCTCATTGGATGAGCTCTTCTTTACTGTGTAAAAACAAAAAGAAAGAAAGAAAGAAACAAACAAAAAACTTTGGTTTTGTCACAAACACCATATAGAGAAAAACACTAAAAATGGATAGATAAATAAATCGTACCCATTCAAGTTTAGGTTGGTGTGCATAAGGAAAGATTATTATGAACGACATTCCTCTAACCTTGAGTACTTCTTATTTTAACAGTCTTAGCGGAGAGAACACAGGTTTTCTATTCAGGCTGCCTGAGATTAAATCTGGATCCTAGCCTCATAAACATGGAAATTTATTGATAATTTATAATTTTAATAATAATTCTTACCTTGGCTTCCTAATTGATAAACTATAGATAATACTATTATTTACCTTGTAGAGTTGTAAGAATGTTTAAGCCAAAATATTAAAAAAGTTCACTCTTATTACTCTACTTTTGGCCCCTAGATTGTATAAAATTATAACATTGCTGCAAAGGTTCATGACTCAGCAGAACACAACATATTGTTGACTGCTTATCTATGCCATAATTTTTAAAAATTTCATCAGTATTTTAAGCATAAACATACCAACTATGATGAACATACATATGATGAGGACAAATTTAAATTAACAGATACAACGTATGTACAGGGAAGACCAGATGCTAAGCTTTATGAACTTAATGTTCAAGTCAAATTTGTATGATTCCTAACATCTCTCACAGGATCCACCTACCGCAGAAATCAGTGGAGTTAGAGGAAGAGTAGGGGGCACTAGTGGTGAATCTTATGGATGATCTGGATGAGAAATAAAGCAATGATCCTGTGGCACAGTTGATGGTGGAGGCAAAAATAGGGAGAATGAACAATGAAATAGGGAAACATTATGTTAATTGCTAATGTGTTTGGCTTTAGAATCATGCTTATTTTTTAGCTGTATTTTGAATTTTCTGTTTAATGTAGTCACAGTACCACTGAATATAAAACTAAAAAAATATTATTATTATATTCTTTCTGGATAATGATTGCTTTAGAAATAAGCCCAAGTCAGACTGATCCTGGTAAGGGCACCTTCTGGATTCCTTTGATTAATGGCCACGTGACTGTAGGCCAGTTTTTGAGACTTTCAAACTGATGTTTCATCATTTGAAAGTGTGTGCATGCATGTGTGTGTTAGGGCCAATGAATGATGGTAGTGTAATAATAACACAATCTTCAAAACATTCTTGTGGTAATTGAGTTAACACCTAGCACAATGGTTTTTAGTTCCCACTCTCTACTTAAAATATCCGTCTGCTTGCCTATAATCTTGAACAGTTTCATGTTTGCACTTCCAAAAGGTATTAACAGAGTGCACTTAGAGCAGCCTTTTCTGGCTCATTTATTATGTATACTATCTATACCTTTAGCCTTTTGTTTCCATGCAAAAGATACATAACTTGTCCATTAGCTGGGGCAAGGAAGAAATGTACTTTGGAGCAGTTAAGTTCTAGGTCATGTTTGTAAAAGAAACACATTTTTCTATCAATGTAGACAGTCAGTCCTTTTCAGGATGCTCATAGAAGGAAGCTTATAAGCTGCACAGTGAGCCCTGATTTCCATGGTTAATTGGTTCAGCATATTTACTCCTTAATTTAATTCAAGTCAAGGGGTGGCCTCATTTTAAGTATGGGCTTATCTCAGCACTGTAAGCCTTTCTAGTGCTCCAAGGACCAAAATTCCTGAATCCCTCTTATCAATTTAAAAATCTTCCCTCTTTGAAGTTTACTAAATGCCTGCTTTTGGTGGTATAAATGGAAAAATTTTAAATCGCTTTTCTACAGCCATCATCTCTTTTCATTATTATATTTCCAGTGTACTCCACGTGAATTGATACTTCTTTTGCCTTTAGGGAGGTAAATATTGTGTTTGTAAGACACCAAGAAACAGTAAATTTGATCTAATGAAATAATGAAATGTAATAGGTAATGAAACAAAATAATAAAATGTAATAATAAATCTAGGTTTTAGGAAAATAGGACTGGGCTCCATCCAGGCTTCCGGCAGGTATTCATTCAGGGCATAGGACAGCGACGTGGGCTCTGGGGCACCGCCTGCGTGGTTTCAGTCAGGACGGAGGACCGGCCTCTGCCCACGTTCGGGCAGCCGCTCCCAATGCTACGGATGCGCGCGCTGCCTCCTCCTGCGGCTCTCCCTCTCTCTGCTCAGCTAACTCCTAGTCACCCTTCAAAACTCTTCTCGGTTGTGATTACCGAGTTTTTTTACGTTATATACTTTTAATTTTTGAATTATTTTATTAGTGAGCCTCCATTACTTTTCCAGTTAAAATAACAAGAAAAAGAAGGAGAAAAAAAACCATAAAACAAACACAAGCGCCCCCATACCCCTTGTGTGGTCGTCTCCTCTTCTGGGGGAAGTTTCCAAACCCTCGTGCCCCAGTCCATGCTCACCCACGCCCACTTGCTTCCTTCTGTGAACTCACATGGCCTCTTGATCATTTATTTTTAGCCTAGGCCTCATTTTATACTCTGCACTTACCCATTGCTCTCACTAATCATAAGCTCTGCAAGAGCAGGAGGTACAAAAATGACCTAGATCCCCAATACCTATCTCAATACCCGGCACATCATAGGTGCTCAGTCAATCCTCTTGAATAAAGAATGAAAGTGAAAGAAAGATGGCCATCCTAACAGGGAAAAGGAGGGTGGCTGTGACCCATCAGGCACGCACACTCCTCTCCTGCTCTTGGTGAGCACAGCTGCTCCCGGTGGCCTCCCTGCATTGTCCGCGAGGCGAGGCTGTGCTGCAGTAGGTGAGCGAGCCCCGCAGGCAGTGCTTTCCTTTACCTGTGTGCAGTACTGTTTTTCCAGCCTCTGGCTCTCCTTTTGTTTCTGGCAGGTGAGTGACACCACAGACACAATGGTGCCGTTGTAGTTCTCTTGGGAAGATGTCCATGACATCAAGGCAGTGGTTGCACTTAAAACATGGACACTCACGTGCTGGGGCTTCTCGGTTAGTTCTTCAATCCACTCTCCTGAAGGACCTGCGCATTTCAAATGAGAGCATAAGGGATATTTCATGTTGAGATGGTTGAGATAAAAGATTGTGGTTTTAAAAATCATGTTGTCTTCCTTCACCCTAATGAAGATATTCAAAGTAAGACTGGCAGCTAGACTGGCAGGTCTTCACATTGTCTGCCTAGTTACAGCCTCCATGGCCTCACTCATCACCGACCCAAACAGCAGCAGCAACAGCAGCTCTACGGAGAGAAAGCTCCGCTTCAATTGTTAGGTGCATCTGAGTTAGTCTGGAAAATTCTTCACCAGACAGAATTTACTTCTCTTTTAACAAAGAGTGGGTGTCGTAGTGTGACATTCCATCAGTGTTTCTAATTTCCTTGCTTCTAGGATCTTTGGTTTCTAGAAATAATTACTTTGAGATTCAAACTATCTTCTACTACAGTTGATTGAAAAAAATTCAAATTTGGTAACAGCAGGCTGGAAGAGGCGGGTGTGACTATGTTAGAGAAGAAATGGGCAACAGGCTGGCTTAATTAAAGAAGCTGGCTAAAATCTGCGTGATAATTTGAAGGCACCGTAGGTTTCTCACAATAAAATGTCGCCATAGAAGTGCCCCCATTAGCTTTGTTCTCTTAGGTTTCTAAAGGGGTTATTAGCGCACTGCCTGACACAAAGGAAGGACTCCAGAGCTGTTAAGGTGATTATTATCTACAGAAATATGCAAATGTGAAACTTCCTTTTATTTGCTAGGGAAACATTTCTCTGTTCCTTAATAGAAAGCTCTATTCCCAGGCTGGAACCCAGGACAGCAAAAGGAGCAAGTGGCCATGCCCAGGGACAGCAGTCTCTGGCTCTCTGTAACTAGGGCAAGAGAAATAACAGTAATAAAAAAAATAATAATACCGATGGCAAAGAGATATAGCATTCATTATGTACTAGGCTCTGTTTTAAGTCTATATGTGTTTATGTATTGAATCACTCAATTTCTCTAACAAATCTACGAGATAAATACTAGCATTAATCTTACTCTCAGATGAGGCACTAAGGCAGAAGGAGGGTAAGCTGGAATTCACACACAAAGTCTGTTTCCCAAACCCATGCGATGGTTCAATAAATATTTGTTGAAGGTACAGCAGAATTAATAAATATGCAAATAGTGTAATCTCAGGCTAGAAGTGATGTGCACAAATGAAATAAATCTAGAAAAATACCACACATACACAAGCTCTGTGTTTTGTGTTGTGTGCTATGAAACAGTAGCAACTCAGAGAGGGGAGGGGCCCGCAGGGCCAGAGTAGTTGAGGGAGTTTTCCCGGAAGCCATTAACACTTGCGGGGGATCTCTAAGAGCAGCAGGGAAACCTTTTGGTTAATGAAACAATTTTAGCCTCATGGGAAGAACTTAATAGTAAACTTTGTTCTTACTCGCAAATGATCTCCCATCAAAGATCTCCCATAATTGAAAGACATGCGAGGCAATTATGACTATTCTTTCTGCATGTCTAATGGATCTTTCAGGGCTTCTACCAGTGGTGACGTTTTTGGTTTCTTAAGTAAAAAGGTTATAGGACTCGTGGACGTGGACAACAGTGTGGTGATTGCCGGGGGACGCGGGTATAAGGGGACTAAATAGTAAAGGGGAAAAAAACACAATAAAGATTAAATTTTAAAAAAGATTGTATGGGACATTTTTGACATTGCTAAGCTGCTAAATAAACTGATCTCTTCCCTCTGCCCTCATCCTCTGTGTCCCGCCCACCTTTTTGAGGATTATTGGATGAACAGTGGTATTTTGCCTTTGCAGATGGTGATAAAGTGTATGATGGTCACCCTTTTCGGAGAGCAATTTTTATCTATTCCTTTCTGTTTTTTCTTCCTGCTTACTAGAGGCACACTGAACTCCTCATGAGCTACATAGCTGATTTTTAGCCTCTGAACCGCTGGTAAATATACTCAGATTAGCTAACAACATTACAGACACGCTCTATTTGTGCGACATTTAGAGGTTACTTACTGCTCTATTACTCTTTATGGAATCAATAGAAGCCACCCTAAGACTTGACACTGGGCCTTTTAGGATGCTCTATTTTTTTCTTCTTGTAGCAACTTTATGGAGACCACCTAGGTCTTACTAAACTTCAACAATTGTCTTTCATTTGAGCTCTATAAGCTCAATATTTTAATGAGACTTTTCACACAGCCCAACAATATTAATTTTCATTATGACTTTAAACAGTAGTCATATTTCCAAAACTGCACGTTTATGTCCTTTGCGAGTTTGTTGTGGCTAGTGTGAAAGGTCAGCTTAATAAATGTGCACTTATCACAATAATAAAAAAATCCTTAAGTTAAGTGGGTAGGCTTGTGACTATTAAATATATATATATGTATAGGTATATGTATGTGTCTGTGTGTGTGCATATGCACACACACAGACACATACACATTCTGATGTCAAAGTTTCATGGATTTGGGACTCTCCTGACCTTGAAGAATTCTCAGTGTCTCTAAGGTTTGATGAGTAATTGATGCATGAGCATCATTAATCTCAACAGTTCCATTGTTTTAGCTCCCCTGTAAGTGCGAAATGGTCTCTGTGGTACTTACTGATATAAAAACTGAGTGATTTTGCTGACTGACTCTTTCGAGTTTCACAAGATCCTGAGGAACTAAAGGTTGTCACAGATAGCTTATATTTCCCAGGCTCCTTCAGTTCTGTAACAAATTCATGTGCTTCTTCAGCCACTGTCAAATGTTCAGTAAAGTTTTCTAAATCATACAGGAAAAGAGAATATAAATAAATTGATAACTGGAAAAGCCTTGATGGTAGACAAGTCAGTTAATACAAAAGTATTTTTTATTGTCTTTTTCCTGTTGTTAAATTCAATTATATCTCCCAGCTAAAGGTACCATAAATAAAAGATGACCAAGGGTTAAAGGTATTGTGAAAATCACTAAATAACCAAACTAAAATATGGTATATACATCAATAAAACGAGGGTGGATATATACTATATATTATTACATACAGTTACCCAACTAAATTACATGCACAAAACAGAAGTAGAATGTCAGAAGATAGCAATAATTGACTTTCTCATCTGGATATAAGTAATAAAAAACAACCAGCAACAAATATCCTGTAAGTTCTTTGTGGTAGCAAAGAATATCCAGAAATGCCTTAAAATATATTGAATTACTTCTAGTTAGAAATAATTCCTCTGTACATATTTTATAACACGTAATATTTTTATCTGCTTATTTCCAGAACTTTTAAAAGTAAAAATAATTTTTATATTGCTTCACAATTTGTCTTCTGTTCCTTATTACTCCATTTGATTATAATAGTCATCAACAGTTGGTGATTATAATCACCTTCAAAAGAACATAGAAAAGTCAGATAAAAGCATGTTTGAATCTTTATGGAAATAGGAGTTAAAAAAATCCTGAGTTACAAAACCCTATCTTCCATAGAATATATTGAGGAACAGAAAAATAAAGGCCAGATTAAGGAAAATTTAAAAAAACAACAACAAGTAATTCCAGACAAATGTTAAGACTTTTGACTCAAATAACTGAAAATGAAACAGATTTCAATTTCATACAATATTTGGGTACGGTTTACTGCTCTATCCTCTTAAATAAAGGAATCCATAGATTTTTATATCTCACTCTATTAAATAAAGCAGAAGCAAACAATATGTCAAATATGAAACTACATGATCCTAATGCCCTACCCTGAAAATAAAGCTGTCATTTTAACTTGAAATTTTGACAACTTGACAACCTTTCCCACCCAAACTACTAGACTGGAAAGCATAAAATGAAATATGCTATTATAAAAACAAGACAAAGAATAAACAACTATAAAAATCTACCAAACGACAATTTAGATATTATTCATGGCTCAAATTTATTGAATGTCATGACTATGCTTTTTATAAATCAGTGGGCTAAAAGGTAAAGAATGACTCTCAGGTGCTGGCTAAGTGAATACACTACGGACTGTAGTAGCTGCAGTGGAAATACCAGTTGCTGTGTATTTTCTGTCACCACCAGCTTTTTTCTGGGCAAATGTGAACAGTGCTGCTCCCCGGAGGGGAAACTGGAAGACCTAGCTCAGCAGGACACAGGCTTGGAACTCTTGGTAAAGAAGCCATTTTGTCAGATTCTTTTGCTGCAGGCTTTGAACATTTTTGAAAACACAAAATTTATCCAGAATATTTTGTAATTTGTTATAGCGGTTGGACCTGTAGTTCAAAATCTTTCCTCAATAGCCCGAGGTCGATGAAATGCTGGGCAGTGAAATGTGTACAGTTGCCAGTACTTGCAACTTAAGAACTAACCAAACCTGCAGATTCGGATCCAATTTGTTCATTCTGTTTCCTAGTCTCAGCTCACATCGGAAATTTAGTTCAACTCCTCCCTTTCTTTATCATTTTTCTTTAGCTATTAACTGTCTCCCATCAGTCTCTCTTCCTGATCTTAAATTTTAAAATGTTTCAATTCCTTTTCCTTTGATTGTATCATTTCTTATTTCCTCTGATTTCCTATTGCTTTACCTTCTCTTTCTATGTGGATGTGGAACCCGTCAAAGGCAGTGGGTGGCTTGGGTGGTAACCAACTCAGTATCATTTGCACAGGGAAAAATGAGGAAGGGCCCGCGGGGGACTTCTCAGCGTCACTGAGTGTACTGTTATTTTCATATGCCAGAGGAAGGACGCTGACAAACTCGTCTTCCCTGTCAGGAGTCTCAGATGCACTGTCCCACCAATGTGGCTGGGATGTAGTTTCATAATCACTGCTGTTAAAGTCAGGCCACCCAGAAGAAATGTTGCCCGAGGGAACATCGGCAGTTTCATCTGTAAAATGGAAGAGTTTGTCTTTTCCCATTGAATCTTCCGATCTCATGAACGACTCCTCCGGGAAGCTGCCACTCTGTTCTTCCCAATTGTTTTTGTTCAAGTTAATAATACGAACTGAGATATTTCGAGGTGGGTAAGGGGCTGTAAGAGAAAGAATTTTTATTTTCAAGTAAATTTTAAAACTCTATTACAGAGATTGCTTGATTTATTAATGAGCCAGATCCACAAGCAGATTAATTACATAGAGTTTAGTTTGAGTTCTATATTTTTATGTTCTACTCGATGATTTCCAGTACACAGACCTCTAAGATTTTCTGCATGCTGTGTACATCAGTCACACATCTATGTCAGCTTGTGATATTATGCTTGTCCAAGTGGGAATTTAATCACTTTCAAGACATTGAGCTACATCAATATGTTTCAGTTTATCATAATCTCCTTTTTTAAAAAACGGAGTCTCTGTAACTGGATCTTTCTTACAAAAAAAAACAACAACCAGAAACAACTACATAGAGTGTACTTATAAGTTACTAAAACAAAAATACTCCTTGTGCCATAGCTGTACTTAGATGGGCTGTATGTGTAAATTGCCTTTAGAATCATTAACACATAGGTTGAAAACATGGCTTTACTTCTCACCTCTCTAAAATGAAACATACAAGCACAAACTGAGTTTATGAATTATCGAAGCACACTTCTCTGGAGGTAGAAAATTATAAAGATACATCGCATGGTATTTACCTGCAATAATTTCTATGTATTCTTCAAGTAGCAGCTTAAATATCACCTCTTCCATGAAATCCTAATAAAAATTAATCTCTTCTTTTTTGGGGTTGTTATATAGTTTTATACCTCTTTTATAACATTTATTGCATTCTTTCTTTTATTATTGCCATTTGTATAGAATGTCTACCATTTTTGAGGACAGGGAACCTTTCTCATCAGTCTCTGTCTTCCTCTCAGTACTTAGAACAACTCCCAGGTAAAAGATTCTCAATTAATGTCTTTTTATTTGAGTAGAATAATGAAAAATACAAACGGAATCTTAGATGTTGACATGAGGTGAATTCCACAGTTTCCTTGCCCTGGCCTAATTAATGAGAATCATGACAACTTAAAATTTCAGATTAGAAAGGTCTCGGGGTGATCTCATATGAACCATTCCCAATGTTCATATGAATGGCCTCTCCAGCATTCCTGCTGAGTACTTGGGCCCCTTAGGCACAGACAATTGTATTGTCTAATTATATTAGACAGTATTATTGATAATGGTAATGGATATTGAGTAGGTGTATATTTGTTTTACCCATCTTTTTATCCATCCATCCACCCATCCATCCATCCATCCTATAATAGTGTTTTATATTAGTTATGCTACTAAAATTAAACACTGTAAGTTTTGGATACATCAGAATCCCAAAATTTTCCTTTAATAATCTAAAAATCCGTACTCAAACATCTTCAATCTCTTTTTTCTGCTAGATGGGCATATAGAATAAGTGATGTCTACTTGATATAGTGAAGTTATTTAATTCTAACTTTTCATAGGATTATGTTCCTTTTATTCAAAGATTATAAATCTATGATCACATTGACATCTTAGGTTTTCCTTATTGAATATTTTGCCAGGTTCCCTTTATAGTAATAGAAAATTTATTTTAGATTACTAAAAAATTACATTTATTTTCTTTCTTAGTTCTGGAACAGAATTTTTCTTAGAATGATAAAGAGTATACATGCAACAACATATAATTTAAATTTTTTCACTAAACTTAATTTTTCAGAATACTTACCGGTTCTGTGTTGTTTGGGTTCATGGCTGACGCCACTGTACTCCACAAGAGTACTTTTATTAAAAGTTGCTTCTGATACCAGCTGAAAGGTAATATTACTATAGCATATCCCTGGCAGCCAGTGATTAAATACTGTTTTTCCCTTAAAGAAATCTGAGAAGAGAAAAATCAGTTACGTTAAAATATTGGTCTTCTAAATGACACATTCTTTTAGAAAGTTCTAACCAATATGATTAAACATGAAAAAATAATGTTTACTTCAATGTATGGCATGGAAAATAATAAATTTTTAGCATAAGGGCAGAGACAAAAATTTGGATTTTTAGACAGCCCTAAAGGCTTTTCTTCTATAAGAATTGGATACAACTGGAGTTAAATTTGGATTACCGGAACAGTTGGTGTAGTAAATTGAGAACATACATAGAAATTGTGAAAATGGGGTTTAAGCTATATATTTTAAGATAAAAACCCAAGGTATTTTGCCACCTTATGACTTAGAAAAAAGTAATTTTACACGAAATATTTTCTGTAGGCTCACTTATAAATCCTAGTCTATTTTAAAAGTAGAAATCCAATGCAAGTTAGAAAAAATGAGAGAAAGAAATAAAAAGTACCACTTATGCAATTAAAAGCCAAAAATAATTTTAAAAATTAATGGAAAAAAGAGAGCACATTCACTTATTTTTAAGCTCATGGCTTTTAACTCAGCTAAAGTTCCAGTGATTGCTTTTCAATCGTTTGTACTTGCATGTGATAATTTATTTTCATTGAAAATAAAGAATACTATAGTTTGTGGAATCTACATTTCTCTTTGTTTACATGTTTTAAAGTATTGAAAAATTGAAAATGCACTGCATATGTTTAAACAGTGCCTCATTAAAAAAGAAAAAAAATCTATGGAAGAAAGAAATTTGTGAAAAACAACAAGTCAAAGTGATATTTTCCTGGAATGCACGTCCTATAAGCTCCATTGTGTATTCTCTACTTCACCACTACCTGTTTCCAGTTACAACCAGGCAACTCTGACACAATCATTTAAGGTCCCTGCAGAGAAGTGTTATGGTCAGGTGTTCAGAGGGTACTGAAGTCCCTCCATTTCAATTTACTCCCTGTGAAGCTGAATGCCCTCTCTTCTTTTCCTCTCTACCCTTCCCCATTCCCCCCCACTCCCCAGCCCACAGCAGTCTACTCAGAGAATTTGGCTTAGTTCTGTTGAAATTAATTCCCCTGGGCTCTTGTCTTTCTCCCCATAGGTTCTCTGCCAAGCCAGTAAAAACAGTAATACTAGTTTTTGTATATTAATGCATTTAACTTATCATACAGATAGCAATCGTGGACCATATCCAAGAAAAGACTTGTGAAAAGCGTCTCTGTAAATTCCCAGTTCTAGAAACGTCCTTTTAACACACCCAGAAGGAAATGGTTTGAATTCATTTCCTATACCAGACATGTTACCTTTGGCAAGAATAACATGTAAATGACAATAATTTGAGTATTTCTAAAGTTTACGCATGGCACATGACTCTAAAGTAATGAAGCAAACATTCTAAGACTCCTTAGAACAAACTTGTCATGAATCAATAATTATTTTTAATGGTTTATTTATGGTCAAATAGTGAATTATAAGATCTCATTAGTGCAAGAGAGAAGACCATTTAGCAAAAATCAGGTAAAAAGTAATAATTAGTCATCATTTATTAAATCCTCCTTTGCCTCTTACCTTTATATAACATTGTCCGGAAGTCTTTACCTTCCCAGTAGCTTATGTTTACTCTTGTGAAAACATTATATTTTTCTGGATAATGAATTTCAAACAAGACTCCTGTTTCAGGAGAAGGTTTATAGTCATATATTGAAACACTGGTTACAGGTAGAGGTTCTGCAGAAAAGAAAAATAAATGAAGAAAAGAGGAAATGGGGCAATAAGGAGAAAGGCCATTACTCACAGCTGGAAGTACCAAGGATTACACTTATGAAAACTTTACTTATATTTTTATCTGCGAGTGTTAAATTCGTCAGTACTCATGAGTTGAGTGTCCTCCTGAGCAGTAATTAATAAAGTACATTTGATGGGGTGTTTTTCTGCTTTTCAAATAACTTTGATATTAATTTTTTCTATTTGCCTTTTGCAACACTCTGAATCTAGGAAAAGCAAACAAAACATAAAACTAATGATAACTCAGAGACTTCAAATTACTTGTCCAAGGTAATTTAACAAATACAATATGTGGCAAAATCTATATCTTCAGATTCATAGTTCATTTTTCTTTTCCCAAATCCATAAAATTTGGTATTAAAAACAGACCAGTAACAGGAAATACATTTTTGCCTTGATCACAGATAAATGTTTCTGTGAACATTTATTTCTTTGTGTAAACTTAGCACTTATTTTTCTATTTTGAGTATAAGATTAAAACCATCCTATTTTGAGAGATTTAAGAGTTTTTGATGTTTATCAAACTACTCTCTCTATGGAAGTTTTAAAAATGTTTATTTCTATTTTGCTTGAGTTGTTAATTCATCACAAACCTTTTTGAATACTCATTTTTAAAAACTGTGATTGATGTATGTCTGTATTTTGTCCGCATCCCACACTTCAGCAAAAACCTCGTAAAATGACAGAGCTTCCCCACCCCACGCTTCTGAAGGAGTTATTGGATGATTTTTTACTTACACTTATTTTATTCAAGAAAAAAAATTATTTTGTGTTGCAGTCAACCATTGTATTATAGAGGCAAAGATATTTTGATTCAACATTTTAGAATAGAGAGGATATTTAGATACCATCTATAGACTAAATGAAAGCAATATCCTTAGTTTAAATTTTACACTTTTAAATTTCAGTTTAAATAACACAGGAAACCAAAATACAACTCAGTTCATTCCACAAATAATTATCGAGTACCTATTTTGTCTGTATGTAGCTAAATAACTTTCCTTTTGTTTCTCAGGATGCTAATCTATTTTTGCTTTTGCTTTTGATTGAAGAGGTCCAGGAAGGATTGATGTTACATGTTAAAGCTGTGATGTTCCTTGGAATTTTCTTACAAAACAAGCTAATATCTATAAAACATTAGGGAGGCCTTTAGATTGCAGCATATGTTGTGATTATGTCTCTGTAGACTATGTTCTATATTCTCTGTTAAAATGTTCTTGCTGTATCTTCACCTCCATTGTTGCTCTTCTTACTGAAGGTAACAGTTTCAGAGTGAATTCACTTACATGTCACATAAACGAACACAAAAAAACAAACAACTTCCTTTCTGAAGACTATTTCTCTTTGATTAATCCCAAAGAAGTTTTGAACCATCTGAAGGTCCTTCAACCCAGTCTAATTACTAACTCAGGGAGTCTATTAAACCTAGTCATTGGCTCTTGATCTAAGAGAAACAAAACGAAAGTTAACAGCGGAAGGCCTCTGCAGAGCGGTAGCTCTCTCATTGTTGTAGCGTGGTTTCTCTTTCTCACCAGGGCTCTGTCTACCAAACAGGGAAGTTCAAGGTCCACTCAATCTTTCATGCCCTGAGATATGAAGTCTGCACATCAAAGCTACACTCAAACTTTGAAATTCAAAAGATATGTGAGGATTAGAGCACAGATACTTTATTTTGTGATTTGTTTTGCTGCTACATGCTACTTAAATTTTAAACTAAGAGAATTTTTAAAATGCCCACTTACATGTTTGCTTCTTATATTTCCCTTAACTTCCTCTTAAGTGACCCAGGTCAGCTGTACATTCTAACATCCAAGTCCGGGCATTACTGAGCCATAGTCAATCTAAGAATTACTGTTTTCTATAGAACTCAAATGCATTCTCTAAAAATATTTTACTCTCCAGTTACTTTATTATAGTTATTGTTATTTTAGAAATTAATGATGTGCCATAAACCAAAGCTGTTATTACTGTGTGCTTTCCAGTGATGACAAGATTAAGTCTTGATTTAATTCACTCCTCCTTTCTTTGCTCACCACCCTCTCATGTCTTGTTTTAAAAACCAGGCTGGATTGGACAGAGAAATGGAGTTGTTAGAAACTGTAAATTATTTTTATACTTGTTTGTTACTTTTTTTGTCCTCAGGTCTCTTTTTGTTTTTTTTCAATTAAGCTTTACAAACATAGTTTCAATTTCCCCATATTATTTACCCAGATCCCATGCACTTCTCACCATGACCAGAGGTAAATTGTTACTCTGAATTTGGTGTTTTATCTTCCCAGGTACGTTTTTTTTACTTTTATATTTGTATGTGTCAAATTTACATTTGGGATGTTATTTCACGTGTTTCAAAATACTATGTTAATGGTATCATGTTATATGTTCCATTCTGCAGCTTAATATTATCACTTAACATTACTACCTAGATTTGTCCATTTTGAGGTAAGTGTCTATAAAAATTATGTAATTTATTTATTATTCTTTTGTTAGGTTGTTTTCAGTTGTTCATTTTTGCAAATAGTGCTGCAATAAATGTTTTCAGACATGTTTCTTTAGATTGGAAATTATGGACACTAAGGTATGCATGTTATCAACTGTATGAGATGTTAAAATGTGTTCTAACTTTATATCAATTTACGTATCTATTAACAGTATATGATAATTCTTTTTTCTCCATATTTTTTTCTAACACTTGCTTGCATCAGCCTTTTAAATATTTGCTACTCTGAAATGTGTGAAGTTTTGTCTCTGCTTTAATTTTCTGTTTATGAAAGTTTGATTATTGCTTTACATATTTATTAGTTAGTTATTCAGCTTTCCTTTTCCTAGAACTATTTGATTCTTTTGCCTGTTTCATTGGTTCTTTTCCCATATTCCCCTGCTAATTATGCAAACTTTGTCATATACCACATTCTTCTTGTTATTCTTTTATTGTGTCCTGTGCCTTCCTTCTGGATTCACCTTTCTTGGTGAAACACATTAATTAATATAATTTAAGTAAGTACATAGGTGTTAAATTCTCCTAGGCTTTCTGTACCAGGAAATATCTTAATTTTATAATTATTCTTGATGTAATTTAGCTAGGTATGAAACTCTAGGTGAACAGATTTCCCCTCAATGTTTTGAAGATATTGCTTCATTGTCTTCCTGCACCAATTATTGTGGAAGAGAAATCTTCCATCATTCTAATAGTTTTTTCTTTATAGATGTTATGCTTTTTTCCCTTTGGTACCTTCTAAGTTTTTAATTTATTTGTATTTTTCCTTGATAATCTGAAGTTCATCATCATATATCTAGTCTTGGTTTTATTTTTTAATTTTCCTGCTTGATACTTGGAATGTTTTATTAATCTATGGATTCATGTCATTCCTCAAGTCTTGGAATTCTCATAATCATCTCTTCAAATGCTGTTTCCATCATTTCCTCCATTCTCTTCTTGTTGAACTTTTAACCTCCTTAATTAGAGCCTCTCTCATTTCCACACTTGTGAACTATCTCACTGTACTAAATTATAGGACAAATGCGCAGTATTATTTTTCAATTTACTAACTCCAACTGTTAGAATTTATCTAATTTATCTCATTTATTGAAGTTTTTCAATTAACATTATTACTTTTATATTCAGAAAATTTACTTTTTAAATTTTTATTGGTTTTGTTCACCGAGATCAATTACTTACCTTTAAATTAAATTAATTTTACCTAATTTCACCAATTAAAATAGTAAACTCACTGTATTTTTAATTTCTAAAAATTTTAATTTATATTTATTGTTTTAATTTTATTTCTGCCAATATTTGTTTCATTATTCCTTGATCTTTTTCAGATGCAATTCTTACACTTATCACTTTGAACATAACATACTATAACTTTGTGTTGTACTGTTATATAAAATATAATCTGAAATGTTGGAGTTGTTTTGACATCTATCTTTTTACTTAGCATAGATTTCTTCCTGTATTTTGAAATACTAACCCTAGGCTAATTTTATGTTTTCTCATCTCTATTTTTTGCTTATTCTTTGCCATTTTTAGACAGTTCAGCCATCGCCTCCTTGCATATCACTGGAACTCCAAATCTAGAACCAGAGTTTATAGCATTGTTTTGTGGTTCTGGATATTATGGATGATATAGTGGCTATCACAAAGCCATTTCTGGAGTCTCGGGGTAGCTAAGCCTGGTCCTTGATAGTAAGATTAATGTGGGTTTCTTGCATCCCTAGGCTTTGTTTGTAGAAAAATATTCATGTATGTTTCAATCCACTTCCCCACTTTGAGTTTCTGTTTGTTTCTGATTCACAGAGACAACTATCATGTTCTTGAACTTAGCAATGTGCTTCTGGTTTTCTTTTTTGCTTTGTCACATAAAGAGTATGTGACAAACTCTTCATGTGACAAAGCAGGAATTAATTGCATTATTTTTTACTTAGAAATCTTAACATTAAATTTCTATTTTTAACAAGATTTTTAAATGATATTTAATATGATGATTTTTCATTAGTTGTCCTATATAATGAAAGCTGATATTCAAGTTGAAGATTATTTTATGTTCTTTAATCACCTGTGAACATTCATGGTCAATCACAAATAAGGAGATTTTAAAAGTTCTGTATGTGACTATCTCAAACAAGAGATGAAGAAACAAAAGCAAATATGAAGGAGATGCTGTTTGAAGAAAGCAGAGGTAGTCCTACACTTGTTAGCAACAGCTAAGAGGTGCTTCTTTCTGAGATTGCTCTGTTTTGATGGACTGAAAGTAAAGAAGCTCCTGGGTCAGTGATCAGTAACCTTTGTTTGTGATGGAACCAATCTAAGAATGTGTCTCTTCTGCCATAGTCCTCCTGAGGGAGAGGAACCTGGGTTGAGGCCCTTACCTCTGATGGCAGGAGTAGAGAAAAAGGACTTACCCTGGGTCCCAGGCCAGGGCTCCTGCCTTGTGGTTAGATGA